AACATAAAGTACTAGACACATGCAAAGAATGAATGGAATCCGTCCAAAGGATTCTGAAATATGACTCCGGACGAACGCACAGACGGACCAAGACCAAATTATAAGTCCCCATTTTTGAACTTTGCTCGAGCGGGGACTAAAAATCTGCAGAGTAGCATGTTGACCTGAAGGTGGGGGAAGCTCTGATCGCTGAAATGCAAATTTTTCGACACAAAAAGGCAGAAATGGTAAAAAAACTGTGAGAAATCTAAAACAATCAGGTAACTCTTCAAGGACCGGGTTCCTCAAAAGTAGACCCCCCCCCCAATTTAGGGAGGCTTACTAAAGCCGGTCGCCTGAACAGTAGGGTCCAAACAATTTTAATGCATTAAAACAGTATATTGGTTGGGTTCGATAGCGCAGATCAAAACCAGCAGAGCCAAGTAAAAATATGCTAGTACGCCTGAAGATGCCCTCGCGCTGGGTGGCTGGGTCCACGAACACTGTCTGACCCGTCACCACTGGTCCCAACCTGTATAGCTTGGAGGTCTCTCAGGTAATAGTTAATGAAGACATTCTGCGATCTCCAGAACCCCGCTTGAAGAATCTTTTCGAGGGAGGCACTAGACATCAAAGCCAAAGAGTTTCTGCGCACTTCATGTGCCCTCATCTGGTGATGTTCCAAATTGGTCATTGAAGAAGCCGTTAAAGTGTACGCTTCAATGATCGTATCGACAATCCACTGTGAGATGGTGATATTCGAGGCAGGGCGGCCTTGCTTGCCCTGCCCATAGCAGACAAACATGCGCTACTCGCTGCCTTGAGACACCTTGGTGCAATCAAAGTACCAGCATAGACATAGAATCCATTCCTGACGAGCCTCTGTACCTACTATGTTAGTGAGGCATGGGATGACGACCAGTTCCGGGTCACGCCCTGTGATTTGGTTCTTAGCAAGAAATCCCATCCGAGTCTTCAAAATAACTTGCGTGTTCATAAAGAAGGTCCATCCGTCACTGAAGGACAGTGCTCCAATCTCTGAACGCCACCAGAGCCAAGAGAAAACTGTTTTCATAGTGACATACTTCATGTCCGCCTCTCCCATAGGCTCGAAGGGGTGGGTGTCGTAACGCCGCCAGGACCAACGACAAGTCCCAGTCTGAAGGATTTGTTAGCCCTTTGGCATGTGGCATCTTCGAGCGGAAAGACTTAAACTGTTGTTGCATAACTGAACTCAAGGCCAGTTTCAGTCCCGCAGATTCTGCTAAGACTGGGAACAAAACTGACCGATCTCCAAGAATCGTCGATATTGATTTTCCCTGATCAAATAAATACAAGAAAAAATTGGCTACCTCACTAATAGCGAGACTGAGATGATCAATTTCCCTTCCGTTACACCAATCAATATAGAGACTCCATCTGGACGCCTGGTGCCGCCCGACTGTGCTGAAGCGAGGAACTTGGACAACTCTTGCCTTGCTCTTGCATGAGTTTATCAACAGCCTCCATGCATGAAGATGGAATAACGCAGGGCTCATCGGGAGAGTGCCGTCCGGCTGGGACAACAGATCTGGAAGATCTGGCAACTCCAACGTGGACTCGACTAGAAAGTCCAGCAACATTGGGAACCAGACCTTCTTTGGCCAGTTTGGCGCCACAAGTGTCAGAAGACAGGTGGGCTTGGGTCGCAGTTTCTCCAGCACTTGGTGCACTAGTTGGATGGATGGAAAGGCGTCAGCGTCCATGTGACTCCAAGAGATCTCTAGAGCATCCGTGGCAAAAACGCTTGTCTCCAAGAGAAATGACATGTACAACAGGAGCTTGGCATTCAGTGATTGGCAAAAAGATCTATCCAGGGACCGTCCTAGAAACGAAAAAGGCGATCCACCACCCACTGGGGGATCTGTCACTCGGTGCTCTGAAACCGAATACGCCTCAAGAGGGTGCGGAGTTGTTGCATATCCCCGGGAGATGGTGAGCTGTTAGCTCCACTTCGTTCTCCAGGCAAGGAAAAAGAATCTCTTCCACTAGTTTCAACAACGTGGAGGAACCCCCCCCCCCCTGTTGATAAGGTGTTTTCTGTCCGAAGCAAAATTCTGTGGTGGTGTGTGACCTTCTTTCAGTGACAGTTGGACGGTCTGCAACTCCAGCCAATTGATGTGGCGGCCCACATACGTGGTCAGCCACATCCCTTGGACTTGAAGGTCCATCAGATGGCCGTCCAACCCTTGGAGCGACGCACCTGTAATGAGAGTCAGCGAGGAAGCCGTCGGAACTAGGGCACTCCCTTTTTCAAGTTCCGGACGTCTTTCCACCAAGGAAGGGCTACTAGAGCTTGGTCCAACAATTGAACCCTGAACCTCAGGTTCCGAATGCGGGCCTTGTAGTCCAGTAAGCTTCTCTGAATCAAATGAGACCGTAAAGCTGCTGACGGTACTAGACGACGAAGTCATCTTGCCAATAAGGCGCATCAGTTCATGCATAGAAGCCGTTCCAGTTGACCGGAGTTGGCTGGCGAGCTCCACAAGGGAGTCACACTGCGCCTGAGGGGGGCAGACAGGTCCTTGCTCTGTGTCTAACTGCATACCGAGGTTGCAGGACGGCATGGGGTTGGACTTGTGGAAAAGGGTTTGCGTCAATCGCACATGCTCCGGTAACACCTCCCTGTCTCAGTTCTGTAATAACCAGTCGTCGAGGTATGGGTTCAGATAAACTGATGACCAAAGGACAGTGCAGGAGAACAAAGACGGGGAGACAGGGAGTCGTACCACCATTCATGCCCAGGCAGCCGGTGAAGCCTTCAAAGAGACTTCACGACTCCCTGGCCACCAGAAGTGCCAGAACGCCCACCACCAGAGCCACGTCTCCTGGGCCTCTTCTGATGCTTCCCGCTACCAGTCTTCTTCTGCTCCTTAGGAGACCATGAGCACTTTGATCCTCGCTAGTTATGGTCCCTAGCGGAGGACTTATTGCCTGAGCCGCTCTGTGGTTTTGGTTTTGCTGGCCGGAAGGGCTAGCCATTTTGGCAAACAAGGATGATTGCTTCCATTGGATAACTGGCCACCAAAGAGCCAGTCACGCGGCCAAGGCCTTCTCCGCAGGTGATCCAACTCGTCTCTCGCAACATGACTTTAACAAAGGCATGAGTACCGGGATCAGGGCGGGATACCAGTGAAGAAGGCTGTGGCACTGCATGAGTATCCCAAATCAGGGACCCGTCAACGGAAGGCATGAGACAGGGCTGACCCAAATCCAGGATCAGTCTTCTTGTCCTTGTCTCCTGAAGGGTACCAATCACTCCCTTCCATCGCCCTCTGGGCCCCCTCCACAGCCTGGGCCACATGAGGTGCCCAGGGGAGTGAGAGAGGAGAGCGCCGATGAATAAGGGACCAAAGGTGACTCCTGCCAGAGGAACTGCACAAATCATAAGGGCAAATTAATAGCTTCCAAGGATGGTATTCCCAAAATAGCGCAAGTTGTTAATTCTCAACAACGATGAAAGGACCAGTTACTCTAACAAAGCCCTACTCCCCGCGAGACCCACCCAATACATAACCCACTTACTGCGAAAGCCACTTACCGCGAAGCTACTAGTTCTAATATAACAAGTCATTGAAAATGACACATTTCCTGTTAAATTTTTGAAAGTTCTCTTTGTGCTCGTCATATTAAAGTGGAGGGGTTACCACAAGCATGTCCTTGAAATCTTAGTCCCAAGTGGCAGATACAACAGATTGTTTATTTACATCAAATTAGAACATGTGTTGCGTGATGACCCCTCCGGTTTAAGACATAGCAAAGAAAAACATAGATCACATGACATGCTAAATATCAATGTAAATGATACATGGGT